TTGAAAATACGATTCAAATAAATATAGACACAGTCCTCGTAATGCACGCTCGAACGAATTTTGTTTTATCAAGAAGATATTTATCTGTTGAATATAGTGCATTACATTACAGTCCATTTATTGTATCTGTAACGAAAGAAAAGAAAAAATCTCAAAACAAATTTATTTATTCGTATTAATATTGTATTCGATCAGTGATTGTATTGATCATAAAATTATGTTGCATCGACTATTTCAATTATTATTCTTATTAGAAATTTTTATTATTCATTCATTTCAATGGGATATTTTCTTAAGTTTAGACGAAACTGATAAACTTTTATGTTATTCATGTAAAGGTGATGAATGTAAACATGTGACAAACAATGATTTAAATAAAATTCTTTGTGATAAAAGAACACAATTATGTTGGGTAAAAATTATTTCAAAACAATAATTAATTTGTATATATATATATTGGTTTTGTTTTTTTCTAAATATTTTAAAGGCTGGTTTTATGGATCATCAACCTTATAGAACATGTGCTAATCGTCATTGTACACCAAGTGATTATTCACTTGATAGTCATATTACTATTGAAACATGTTGTCGTTCAGATTTATGTAATTCAATTTCACGTAAGGAAAAAAAAGCATACATTTTATTATGTATTATTATTCTGTGGATTCTTCTTAACTAGTCTCTTCTCCAACATTAGACCAATCACACAAGAAAACTTCATTGTCGCCTTTTGCTGAAACATCTTCTATTGCACAAACACCAGCAACAACCAGTACATATATAAAGAAACATACAACAACAAAGAGAGGTTATATTATTGACACAATAGTTCCTGGAAAATCACCAGTATCAACTGACACAGATGCATTCAGTGACGACGACGAAGATGAAAATTGGCTTAAATTAAAACTCAATGCAAGTGATCCGAATAGTTTTGGTGTTAATTGGGATCGTTTACCATACGATACAAGTTTTAGCAATCGTATAGCATCAATAAGTAGTATTCTACTATTTTTAATATCAATTTTATTAGTTATACTTTTGTAATTTAATTTTTGTTTTTTAATACTTAAATTTGCTTTATTTAAACTAAATTTTAATTTATTCAATATTGCCTTCAAATTCTTCATCTTCATATGGTGATAATAATACAGATGATTTAAATAATTCAATATCTTCTTCTGTTGTTGGATCATCTGTTTCTATTAATTGTAATTTATATTCATTTTCTGGTAATACATCAATCATATTTGCTTGATAACTTTCAAGAGAATTTTTCATACCCCAACCAATATAGATATTTTTAAAACGATAACGATCACCGACAGTAAAAGCACCTTAAAAAATAATATGATCAATGACAAAATATAATTAATAAATTTTTTTTTTAAGAAAAAAATTAATTTGCTTTAAAAGTCATATCATTTTATTGTTTCTATAGAATAGAGAGAACTTAAAAATATAATTTGAATGTCTTGTAAAGTTTTGCTGTATACGATGAATTTCTCATATCAAGTATCGATTCGAATATAAAAGATTACATTCATTCTATTTATTTTTTTGCTTCTCGATATTTGTAATCTAAATGATCATATGGAATATTGTCATTTAGTTTTTTTGACTTACGAAGGAACACATTCGACTGCTAATCTTCGTTTGAACTCATATAGGTAGGTTGTGATTTTTCTCGTGATATTCTGAACTAGACTGAAAGTTCAATAAAAATGACCATAATTCTGAAACAACGGTCTAATAGCGCGAACCCTTGTAATATTTTCATTTACACCATGAGTCATACCTATGAATTCAAACGAAGATTAGCAGTCAGATAGATTCTCTCGTTAATGAATAGCGATATACAAAAAACAGAAGATTATTCAGCCTACAGCTATCACGAAATCTCAGAGCTGTGTGCACTCATACGCATCGAAGGAAATTCTTGTCTACATGGAAATCTTTCACAAATTATATGATTGATTTCTCAACAGAGAATAATTCCACCGCATTTGATTTAATTTCTTTCATCATTCAAAACATCTTTCCTTCGAAATACATATATTTTGTTTTACTCTGTTATCTCCTTCAAAAGTATATAATATTAAAGCAATTCATGTACTTGCGACGTTGTTTACGTTAACTTTTCTGTTTTTTTTTGCTAACACATATAACAAACTATTGAACTATCGAAGGCGAGGTAACAATTTAGTAAACTTCGTTATTTTACTCATCCGCATTCTCAGCTTCAAACCAGAAATGTGTAGTGTTAATGTAAATACTGAACAGTGACTTCTCGACACCGTATTCACTGCAACATTGATACAACAATTCTATCAAAATATGCTCTTTTTGTAGCGGTATCCTAATGCTTCAGTGTGTACTAACTGTACTGTCTCGGTGGTCATTAAACTGAAACTGTACCTCCCTAACTCCAAACCTATCACTCTCAGTAGTTGCACTATGATTTGAGACAATTAGTGCTATTTTATAGTACCAAGAATATCAATATTATTGGATAATTGATGCGATTAGTTAGTTTATTTTATTTTGATATTAGAGAAATTTTTTCATGTTAGCATCAGATTCTATACCTCTGCTTAGTTTAATGGAAAAAATATTTCTTCTAAACTCTTAGATCAATATCTGATGTTTTTTTGTTACATTCTCATAATATTTAAAAACAAATCAAGAATATAAAAATCTAATGACAACATTAGATCAGATTAAAAAAAGAATGACTAATTCATCGATAAAAAATAAATTTCTGAATCCTAACAAACTTTATATTATTGTAAAACTTCTCCTATCAATAGAAATTACACCTGACCATTACCCTCAATAATCCCACATTTGCTTGAAATAGTATAATCAATTCAAAAGATCATTTAATTATCATAGATTCGATTCTCAAATCAATTTAATACACATCTTTAGATATATTAGAGTTCAACGACAGATGTTAAGGTTGGACGCCGACAGATACAAAAACACAAACCTGGCCATCGATTCGATCGTGCATAAACCAATGCATGTTCAGGGACAAGAGTTGAACCTATACCGATAGACCATGCAGGATATAATCCATGAATTGAAATATCTTCACTAACAGAAGATAATAAATGAGGACCTTGTTCAATAGATATTTTTCGCGGCGTTGATTTTTCTTCATCTTGATTTTCATCACGTTCTTTGAACAAAAAACTATTAAATTCAATACGAAAAACTTTGTAAACTTACGATTAAAATATACATTCCGACCTTGTTTATAAATATATGCAACATCTAAAAAAAAAGAGATATTTTATTAAAAAAAACCAACAACATAATTTCTTCTTTCATACAATGAACCCAATATTGACCACGAGATAAAGCAAGATCTTCAAGTCTATTTCCTTCAAATTCAGTATTTATATCAAAACTTATTTGATGTTCTAAAATTCAAAAAACTATTTGAGTTTATTACTCTATTCTATCTATCATACGATCTATTTTTTCTTCACTCATTTCTTCTTCTTCTTCATCTTCATTAATTGAAATTTTAAAATAATTTTTCGGTCCTATCTATACGAAAACAAAATACAAGAAAAAAATAATAATATGAATGTACCTGAGTACCAGCAGTAATTCGTTGAATTTGTGCACGTAATAAATGTTTTTCAACACCTGGAAAATTTGATTCGAATATAAGAGGTGCTTCAAGATCACCAGTAAAAAATTGTTGAATTCTACGAGATAATTCAATCTGTTCTGGTGTTACCATTGGTAATTGTATAAAAGGTTGATTAACTAAGAAAAATTTTTGAATAAATAAAAATTTTCAAGAATATTCTTTACTTCCAATAGATACATAGAATACTTTTTGATTAATACCATCACCAATTTGTTCAGGTGGTACTTTTTTATTGAAATTTTGAATAGTATTATCGAATTCATTTTCTTCTTCTAATGAAAAAATTTCTTGATATTTAATAAATTCAGAATCATTTAAATCAATATCATCAAATATATCAAAATCAGCTTCAAGAATATAATAATTATTTTTTATACCAAAAATTTTGCCCCAAAAACGTAATTTTTCAATATTAGATTTTTCTTTTAATAAAACTTTCATTGAAAGCCATATCCTTTTAAATAATAAAATTTAGATAAAAATTTTAAAATTATAATATTTTTTTTTTTTTATACCAATAAATTTCATCTTTATTTAAACCAATACCAATTTGTTCGAATAAAAAACTTAATTCTAAAATATTTGTCATTATTTCATCGGGATTACCTTGAATAATAGAGTAATCCTAAAGCAAAAAAAAAAACAACTTATGATAATTTGTTTTTTCTTTTTTTTTAATACCGAAAGAAAAGTAAGTTGTCTTTGTGCAAATAAATAAGATTCTTCTTGATTATTGTTTGATAATTCTTGTTTTTTTTCATAGAATTTTTTTGAAAGTTCTTCATAGAATTTATATGGTTCTTTTGGATGATAATCAAAAAGATAACGAAGTGTATATGTTAAATTTTCATACATATTAATACCAATTAAAGTTTTATAATCAAAAGATTCTTTTAATATATCTGATGAAATTTTTGATGCTTCTGATATGATAGAATAATCTTGTTCTTGTTCAATATTTTTATTAATACATGTTTCTATTTATTATAAGAAACAAAAAAGTAGAGATTATTTGTGACGCAATGTTTGATAGGAATTGACTAGATGATATGAGATCATAGATCCACAAGTAGAAGTGTACAGGGTAATAGTAGAGTACATGGACTTGATTTATTTTCTATCAACAAATATGCACATTATTGGATGTAATTTTCCATGTTGATTCCTAATATATATGTCCTTATTTTCTTCTTCAAATACTTCTGAGACAAAAGAACACGGAAAACCTTTAAAAACTAAAGTTTTTTTTAGAAAACCTACATCTTAACCCTTTACCCCCCATAGAGGTTCCAGAAGAGCTATTGATGAAACAACCATTGGAATAGAGTATTGGTGCCTCCAATATGCTAAAATTACGGTCAGATCGATCAAACGCACACTTGAGTTTTAGGGTAGTTTGTTGAGGGGGAGTAGGGGGATCGATTTGGAAAAAATTTCGTGAACTTTCCATAATACCGACGGAGTTCGGCCAAAAAACGTCGTAGAGAGCTCGTGGACGTCTTATTTTGTAGAGAATTGTTCACTCTATAATTTTACGTCGTTTAAACAAAACTTTATTTTCGGATTGTAGACGGCCAAAAGCTAAGGGTTGATTTTCTGGAAGTCGTTCAGTGACCATTCGATGCTTTACCACATCTTGCCTACCCAATGCTTTTCAAATTTTTGAAACTTATATAATCTACTAGTGGACACTTTCTTTGATGTAAATCACGCAACACGTCGCCAAGATATATATTGCCTAGAGGTAGAAAAAGAATTTTACCAAGAAAATTCCATTTTTTACTTTTTTTGAAAATCATCGATTTTATAAGTTGTATATCTCGGCACTAGCACAGCGAAAAAAATCTTTTTTTTTACTAGTCGATAGCTCATGAAGTTTACTACAAATAGTGCTCTTAGAGGTTTTGAATTCTATGCTTCCTTTATTTTCTGCAATCGTTCTACAAATGGTCATTCCAGTGACCAAGGGGGGGGGGGGTAAAGGGTTAATACAGAAACGTTTATGCTAACTGAGTAGATGTGTTTGATAAAGAAAAAACATTCTATAAAAGTTTTATCATGCTTGGAACTATGGTAAAGCGTAGACATCGGCTATAATGAACACGTCTTTTCGGAAAACTCTTAGTTGAGAAAACATGCATATTTTTTACAAAACAAAGTTTTTTTTTTCATATAGAACGATAGAGCAAGAGCTCTATGATGTATTCTTTTGGATCTTTTTACTTTCTTTGTACAGAAACTTGATCAATTGTTGGACTTAGGATTTTCTCAAAGATAAAGTTCTTAAGTTATGGACATCAAATGTTGACACATCGCCTTATTAGTCGAGAGTACGTCGACAAATTCATTCGATTCCAATGGCAAATGCTTGAACTGAATGTCGATTTAGTGTTGTAGGGCTTATATTGATTGACAGAAGAACTTATTTAAATCCCAAATAGTTGGATAGGGAATTTTGTGTTCGTGCTGTTGCAAAAATTGATTGTCAAATGTAAATGTTCTTGTCTGTTATTATAAGCGCCACTTATTCTCTATATTTTCTTTACCCTTTTGTTGTATATGCCTAATGATATGTTATTTTTGCTATCAAAATTACATTTTTTCGATTGTGCGAAAGGCTATCGATATGATCAAAAATATTTCCTTAATTCAAAATCTTTCTTGTATGAAAAATATATTATGATGATTGTTTCTTTGTATTATTTCGTGCAAGAACTTGTTATTATCTTATATTTATGGAAGTAGAACAATTGAAACTAGAGTCATAGATCAATGCTTAGTTATAGAATTAAACGCATTCGAAAAGTCAGAAACATCAATCGACCTGTTGACAATTTTGGTTTAGACTAAAGAAATGTAGATTATTTATAATATTAAAGGAAAAGTTAGACGAGGATAAGCTGGATTTCTTGTGGAACTCTTCAGGTATTACACAGTAAGTCAACATGTTTCTTCCCAAAAAGATTTTCTTCCTTAAAAAAAAACCATTCTAGAGATTCATCTTACAATTTAATTTCTGTTCTAAAACGATCTTTTTTTATTTTCGTTTTAAACTTAATTTATTTCACTTTTTAAATCAATTAATAAGGGTATTAAATGTATTACATTTTTGATAGTAACACAAATGACTTTTTAATCATTTATTTAATTACAAATTGGTTCGTTTTTGAAAAAGAAGTATCAATAATTGTACATTGAACAATGCTCACCTAATTCAATATATAACTCTGGATGCCAGACAATTTCACATGTAAATGGAATTTTTTTTTCGATTATTAATGAATAAACATTTTCGTATGATAATCGTGTTACATCTTGTCCATTTAAAGTAATTAAACGATCACCATCACGAATATTCATATCATACCAAATACCAGTTGGATTAACATTTTTAAATAGATAAGCAAAAATATTTTGATTTTTTTTCATCAAATAAATTTTATAACATATTAATGTTACATCAAAATTTTGAAATTTATCTAATTATTTAAATTATAAAATATATTCAAAAAAAATATATATACTCACTTGGATCAACTGTAATTTGTTTTTGAGTTTGATTTAATGGCAATTGAAGTAGATTATTAGTTTTTAATTTTATAAATACATCTAGAGCAATTCAATTAAATTAATTTTCTTACTTAGAAAAAAAAAGAAATTTATACTTTTAAATTCCATTGATTATACAAAATACAATTCAATAATTATATTATCTAAAATGAAACATTCATATATAGTGATTAGCAAGTCAAAGTTACTATCACAATCTCTACAGGGGTAAAATGTTAATTACCATGTAGCTACTGTTGCTAATAATAAGGAAATTGTTTTATTTTATCTATTTTTGGATCACTCCTTTTAGATCGTATTTCACAAAAAGTTTGTATTATTTTAGATTGACAATTATGAACTATTATTATTTATTTTTGAAAATAAGTTCATAATGAATTGTTATCTAATATGAATATTTTTCTTTAATCATAGCTATCAAAGATCTTCATTTGAATATCGATTTGTTTGAACCAAGATAAAAATATAATAAATAAGTCTTATATTTAACGAGAATAAAAAGGAGATATAAGGTGTTGGCAATTCGAAATTTAAGCAACAATATTTTTGTTATGCTTGATAAAGCCTATAAAAAGTGGAATATCCAAAACATATCAAGTTTCGTTAGGCTCAATATTTATCCGATATTTTTTTTTTTGGTTTTACTGGTCATGGACTTTGCAAAATATTTGCTTAATTGTTGAGAAAATCGGTTTTTATGATTGGATGGCAAAATACCATAAATATAGATGTTCGTATTCAGAATCAGCGAAAGAATCTGCATTGAATAGTATATTGAATACTTGAAACAAGTTTTCGTCAAATCTCGACCATAGGAGAATCACAGATTAGATTATTCGAAAAACTTAGTGACGAGGTGAAAGAACCGAAATTTGACAAAAAAAAAATTGTTTTAAATATTGAATATACTATTCAAGATAGATTTGATTCTGAATGCAAACCCTTATTTATGGTGTTTTGCCGTCATGTCGAAAAGAAACAATTTTCTAAACCATCAAACAATATATTTCAAAAATCATACATAGATTTTTTTTAAGTATATGTCGAGTAAAACGAAAAAAGAAATACAGGATAAATGTCGAACCTAACGAGACTTGATGATTTTGGTATAGTTCAATGCTTATAGGTTTTTCTGAATTTTTTTTAACCTAATTTTCCTAAGTTTCGTTACAAAAAATTGTTCGAATTAGAAGTAACTCAACTGGTTTTCTATTGAACTATGACAAAAAATTTTTGCTCGAATTTCGAATCGTCGGCGCCTTGCAAAAAGAGTTAATAATGAACAATATTTGACTCTATCGAACAGTGTTGGATACCAGATAGTTTAATCATAAAACAATCAGCATATTCTATCATATCCATTTGATTAAGTTTTTTTTTCCCCAATTGTTACTCTTCATAAGAAAAATATTTACAAGAGTGATAGTTGTTAAGATTTATGATTATACATTGAAGAAAAATTGTCTCCAATATAATACATAAATGAAAGCATGTAGAATTGAAATGATGTTGATAATATTTAATTATTTGATAAGAATATCAAGAAAATATATAACAACAATCACTATTTGTTTGATTTTTAGACAATGATATGTTGAAATTCAATTAATGATATTTATAATGAAATCTAATCAAACATCATGTTTATTTTCTGTTACTAAGGAAACACAAGGAGGTTCAGTTCTACTAAACTAAAAGACTAAAAACTCTAGTTTTTTCATCACTGGAATATAATGATATCTGTACAAATAATCAATAATTCAAGAATAATAAAAGTAAATTATTTCAAAAGATTCAGTTATATTTATCAAATGATCTTATAAAAATAATATTGATGAAAAAGATATTTAAAAACGAACTATAAATTTGAACAAAGAACAAGTAGAAAGAAATTATTTTTTTGACAATCGGATTTGTCGCAGAACAGAAGACGATACAGGACACCAAACTTACCTCATTGATCGTGATTCAATGAAGTTCTTGTCTATTAGTGAAATTCATCATGATTTTTCACTATTATCAATAGTACCCTACAGCCAAGACACAAGGGGTTCTTTGTCCAGCAGGACGAGCTTTTTTGATGTTCTGCCCGGCGTCCTACAAAATAGGATGACTGAGTAATGATATCCTATAGTAAAGCAGGGAGGACGAAGAAAAACATCTTGTGGCATTCTCTGCTGCAGAGTTTTGTGAGAAACCAACTGCTTCAACAATATAATGTAGATAATATTTTAGCTATTTCTTCCACTACTAAAATTAGTTAGATTTATCCAATCTCTCCCATCATTTTTATTTAATAGACAAGAGTCAATTTGATTACCCATTAAGTCCGAAAATAAGAAATTGCGAAATTGAGTATGATACCTTATTTTCTGACTTAATGGGCAATCAAATTGACCTTTGTCAGTTAAGAAAAAATGATGGAAGAGATTACATAAATCTGATTGATATTAGCAATGAGAGAAGTAGTTAAAATGTGATTCCACATTATAATGCTGAAAAAATTGATTTTTCACAAAACTCTACGACAAACTCGTTTGTGAAGAAAAGTTGTTAAATGTGCATAAAAACTAGTGTCAATACCGATGGCCCAGTATAATACTTCTACTGATGCATACTTACTCAAAATCATACATTGTATGCAGAAAATTAAGTTTATATATTAATCAAAGTCTGCGACATGTATGATTCCCATAGCTGTTCACAACAGTCTATGATTACATTATCGTAAATATTTAATTTTAGAAACGAAAATAACATGCTTCATGAATCTATGAATAGAGATGTGTGGAACTAAGCTTTTTGGTTTCGAACTCGATGACTTTAGTTTTTCAGGTTTCGGCTTAGAGAAAATTGTTCTAGAATTTATTTGTACCACATCTAAAAGAATTCTTTAATACTCATTTTTTGATTCAATTGATCGACGGCAAGCACTTTTCGAGTCATTACTTGAGTTATTTTTTTTCTCGTGATTTCGATTCTGATAAAGTTTTAGTTTTTTGGTCTTGCACATTCCTATATGTGAATCTATTGTTTTCTACTGCCTATACTAAACAGTAGTGTGTAACATTAGAATTATTATCATCATCATGGAATAACCATTTTACGAAAATCTCAATTTTCTTTATCAACAAGAAAAATTTTAATATTCAACCGTTTCTATCACTTGATTATTCAAACTTTTCACAAGATGTAATTGCTGGCATCGATATTATTGGAATTAAACTTATTTGAAATTCTTGTTGGAACAATTATTCCTAGTTCTAGAATGATTATAAATCTAAAAAAATAAAGTATATTCTACAGGGTGAGCCAAAAGCTACCGGACAGTTTTTAATTTCGAATAACTTTTGATAGGATCAGGATAACAAGTTGTGGCTTTCACCATTCAAAAGAGGCTCTGTTACTACGTAGTTCCATGTACTATTCAACAGTGCTGCTTGTTACTATGGCAATCAAACAGTGGTCTTCGGTAAAATACTAGTCGCTCTATGAAAATTATATCGAAGTTCAATTTTAAAGGGTACGTCAGAATTATGCACCTATGAATCACGCTCGTCATTGTCGCTATCCAGTGTTGCATCTAAAATTCTCTATCGAAAGAAGATAATAGATTCGGTTGTTGACGTTAGTGTAAATCGTGAGTATACGAATCGAATCCATTTCGTTGAATTGAACTCCTATGTCCTTTTCGTAGAGTTATCAAAATCTTGCTAAGGATTACTAACTGATTATTAGGTCAACAATCTGTATTGTTGAATAATACATAGAACGTCATAGTAGCAGATCCTGTTTTGAATAGTGAAAGCCACAACTTTTTGTCTTAATCCTATCAAAAGTTATTCGAAATTAAAGACTACTCGGTGACTTTTGACCCACTCTGTATAATTAAATGAGTGAAAAATGAATATTCTGCTGTTTTATTTAAAGATTATTTAAACAAATAATCAAATTCTTTTTTTCTCTATCGATATTGAGAGTTAGAATTAATAAAAAAAAAAAGAAAAGTTGCATGCGCCTAAGTTTTATTTGGCCCATAATATGCTATATGATACCATATATATATATATAAATTATACAGAAAGCATCACAAGATTTAAATAAAACGTTCTGTTAGTATATACAAAAGATTCGTCTTTATCATCATCATCAAATGATGGTGTATAATGTACTTGAATGTCTAGAAAATGTTTTTGATGTTTAGAATCACGAAAAAGATTCGATGGTAATGGTATATAATGATAATCTTTTATTTTATGATTTTGATTAAGTATCATTTGATGATAATGATCTATTGTTATATTCACTTGAGAATTTAAATAATATATATAAAAATAAAAATGATTATCATCTATTGAATTATTATCAATAATAAAATCGAACGATTTTGAGAAAGATAATTTTTTATAATTAGTATAAGGAATCGATGTAAGATTCCAAATATGTTTAAGTTTATATAAATGTGAATAATCATTTGTTAATATACGTTTGATATGTGCTGTAGGAAATTTAATTTCTTCTCGATTATATGTAAAAATTCCATTCGATTCATTTTCAACATCAGATAATTGTGTATAAATAACAGCTGATAAACGTGATGAAAGATTAATAAAAAGTTGTTCAAATTCATATGTCATTAAATAACGATCACTATAATCACGATAACTCCAACCAGATGTTCTTAAACCTAATCCACCACATTCACCAATAACTAATGCTCGAGTTTCATCATTAGATAATGGTAATGAAATTTTTTTCGAATAATCATGTATATCTCTAATATGTCCAATACCTATTCGATCATGCCATCCACTAGCAGAATTAATTAAACGATCTTGATCATAGGATTGTAACCATGTTGTTAAACGTATTGTATCATATTGACCCCATCCTTCATTAAATAATACCCATATAACAATTGATGGATGAAATGAAAGAAAATCAATCATTGCTTTTAATTCATATTCAAATTGAATTTTAGATTTAAAATTCTTTGTAATAGATGTTGATAAATGTATAGATAAATCATTATCTATATTTGTATTCAGTGTTAAATTATTTGTTCTATTATCACGAAGTGATTGTAATTGTTTATTAACATCTAATTTAGTTTCATAACATTTATAAGAATCTCCTGAAGGCATATCTTGCCAAACAAGTATACCTAATACATCACACCAATAATACCAACGTGATGTTTCACTTTTCATATGTTTTCTTATTGTATTAAAACCTAAATTTTTTATTTGTTCTATATCATATCGATATGCATCATCAGTTGGTGCACGATAAAGACCATCAGGCCAGTAACCTTGATCAAGTACTCCAAACATAAAATATGGTTTATTATTAAGACAAATCTTTTTCTTTTTAGAACAAAGAGTAATTTGTCTAAAACCAATATAACTATCAATATGTTCAATAAATATATCCTTTTGATATAAATCAATATGAATATCATATAAATATGGATTTTCAGGTGACCAAAGATTGATTTTTTTTAATGGAAATGAAATTTCTTGTTCAATATTTGGTTTATAAGAAATAAAATCAATTAAATGTTTATTATTTTTTTCAATGATACTTATTTTTAATATAAAACCTAATTTTTCATAATTGATTTTATCTTTTTTTTTTTAATGTTTCATTTCGTTTTACATGTAGTAAATGTTTATTTTCTTTATCAAAAATTTTTTTAGAATAAATTGTCATATTTTTATTTGATAATTGATAATCAAATGAACTTGTTATTATTGATTTTAAATCTATACGATATTTTAAAAGTACATGTGTTGATGATAGTCTTGTTTGAAATTGTAAACGATCAATATGAATATATGGTACTCGTTCTAACCATACTGTTCCCCATATACCAGAACATGGAGTATAATATATTGAATGTTTTTCTTTAACATCTAATACTTGTTTTCCACGTGGTTGATACCATTTATCTGATGGATCCCAAACACGTACAACTAATTCATTATCTTGATATTTAATGAAATATGATGTTATATCATATGAAAATGGTTCATAACCGCCTAAATGTTTTACACCAACTATATTATGATTTAAATAAACAACTGTTTCATAATCAACTTTATCAAAATGTAATATTATACGATATTGATGATGATGATTATCATTATACCAGGCTTGAGATTTTATTTGAAATTTTAGTTTATACCATAGATACATACTTGAATCAACACGTTCTTCAATGCCAGATAAATAAGATTCAACAGGAAATGGTACACGAATAAATCGATCAAAATTTTTTGGATATGTTTCATTAATAGATGTTATTGTAAATGACCAATTTCCATTTAAATTTAACCATAATTTTCGTCTTAAATGTGGACGTGGATAATCATTATGAAATGGTATTTTATTCTCTATAACATTTTTTGTCCATCGTGTTGAACTTTTTGTCATAAGTTTCATCGATAATGTAGACGAAGAGGTAGACGTAAGAGTAATAGAAGTAAAAGAATTAAAATATTCATAATAGAAAAGATAAAATAAAGTCATAAAAATTCCACATACAATAATATTCTACGAAAATTATTTATATTATAATAGAAAACTTTTGAAATTGTATACATACCCATTTTGAACATTTCTTTCTTCGTCGTTGATATTTTATACCGAACCAATTCATCAATAGTATCTTCATGTTGTTGGACATGCTTCGAATATTGCTTGATGATACCGTTCTATTTTACCTTCGACTTTATTTACTTTTCAACTTGTACAACTCATACTGTCTGAAATCAATCAAACAACGAACATAAAAAGAAAGTATAACATTGTTACATGATTTTACATACACGAGTAGATGCAACTGAGAAAATAAAGAAAGGTGAGTAATTATTGACGAGCTAGCATCATCACTTATGATTAATCGACAATTGGTGATCGAAAATATTAGATAGATGGTGGATACATAACTTACCAAGAGAAAGAAAAAAAGGTTTAGCCAATCAAGCGAAAAAAATATCCTTGACGCATCTAAACTTATTTTTGTATCCTAAATAATTATATTGCTCTATAATGTTTATAGACAAGTCGTTATGTTTACACGTATAATGTATAAACGATCCAGAAAGAACAATTCATGATTTTACATGTTTTTTTTTATTGTGGCATAACATAAAAAAACAAAGAATTTTTTCATAAAAATTCAACAAGAAACAGTCAATAATAGAAATGAGTAATTAATGAATATCAAACAAATCAATCAAGATCACTGATAACATTAGCACGAAAAAAGAACCCGGATCTTCTATTATGTTTCATTTGTCTTCATATTTTTAGGTGTGTGATTGTGTCGTAAATAGAAGACAATGCCCACACTCACACACTCCAGAATCGTTATATGTACTTTCGATTAATGATGATCTACCATCAATTTTTTCTTTTGATGTAAAAAAATTTTAAAAGAAAATTCATCTTGCCATTGATTAACAACAACTGAAGTAAAAATAAAAGCACAGCTAGACAATTATCAAATAAATATTGTCAAGGTAAATAACGTTGTGTAGTGGTTAAACATTATGGATGACATTGTTTATTAGAATATGATGATGTACGAAGTTTGTTTTTTACAAACAATCTTGGATAATCAATGTTTGTCTTTTTTGTATAATAATATTATGTGAATCGATTATATTCTATACGGCAAACAAATAAATTATTTCAATAATGCCATTCAGTTATTAATCTTAGAAACTAAATAATTATGTTCAGTAAAAAAGAATAAAGAAAAATTGAATGTGAAAAGTTTATTGTTTATAAATTTATCCTAATTGAGAAGATTTTTGTTACTGAATAAAAAAAAATTGGACTGTCTATTTATTTCAGAATAGAAGTTGGAAAAACTTGACCGGTATATATCGAGAACAAAACAAAACAAAAAGATAAAACCATCTTTCCAATCAGGAAAGCACCAGTGAATTTTCTATTCAAACAGATTTATTCGATAACCAAGGATTTTCTCCGTGAAACCCTACCAGTGTCAGATATTTTCTTTTTGTCCCACTTTTGGACATAAGACCTGATTGGGCACGACCTTCGAAAACTATAAATTGTAACTCTATTCAGCTTAGATTCACATGAAAACGTATATTTCTTATAATCTGCAACACCATAATAGACTTTATTTTCCTATTTGAATAAAGATACGGTCAATAGGTAAAAATTAGCAAGAGCATGGTTAGAGGGCGAGCATCTGCGTGTCATCCACATCCATATGCTGCATCAAATAAGGCTATCACTTGAGTCCTGACAGCTAAATCAGCAGCCTTTTGTTCATAAGTAGTTCTGATGATACAAAGAAGATCAGATTATACTCGAATATGAGATGAAGAACGATATGTTCTTTCCTTTTTCCAACGATAGTACCAAACTAACGCAAACTGCTCGAAAATTTTTTTCTGCTGAAAGAAATAGTTTCTTTCATTAATGTTCGAGTAAGATGGTTGGGAGAATTTTGACACCAAAGATGCGTAGTCGATTTCGAGAGCTATCGAAAGCAATATTTCTTTAAAAGCTGTCCTTTAAAATTTTTGTCCTTTTGAAAAAAACTAGTTTTTCAATATCAAGAGTGGACTTTTTGAGAAAGCTATACGAGACGTTTTTGTTCAATTTTACGAACTCTTTCGAATGAGACGTTACTCTAACGGAATGAACAAAGAACGAATGACGGAGATGACTTTTTTCGGTTTTTTCAGAGTTCTTCATATTTCAACACACCTATAATTCCATCAAATTAAATCGCAGAATTCTAAAAATTTATTCATAATCTCAGTTTGATGTGAGAAATCGATTGATATAGATTAAAAAAAGTATATGTTAATTTTGACTATAAAATCTACTGTCTTGATCATCTCATGAACTCTCTCTTAACATCTCTCGCATCGTTGATAAGTTGAATAATATAAAATTTGTATTGAATATTGGAAAAGATTTTTCGAATTTTACACGTAAAACAGAGTCTACCGATGTTTTTTGTTTCATTTTCGATAGAACTCATTCACTCACTTCATTTTATTATGTGATAGATTTTCAACAATAGATATAGATTATAATGTATGGCATAGAGAATGTTTTTTATTTCTAATAAAGATTAATTTAAAAAGTTAAACATAGAATTTTATGAAAGTGTATTGTTAAAAAAAGGTAAAATATTTTTCATAATAAAATCTTTATTAGGTGCATGTGTAACATCTTGATGACGTACATGAGAAGTAAAAGTAAATAATTTTCCTTGTTCCCATAATGTTCTTAATCCAATAAGATCTTCTTTAAATTGTCTTGAATTATTCCATGTTTCAATATTAAATGAATTTGGTTGATAACCCATAAATAAACCTGATTCTTTCGGCGTAACAACTTGATCAATATCAGAATAAGTCATAACGAAAGCATTTAATTTAATCATATTTTGACGATATATTTGATTTGGTATTCCACGTTCATTATTTATATCTGGAAGAAAATGACAATCAGATATATATCTATTTAATTGATTTGGATCACGCCAATAATTTGCTGCACTAATTGCATTTTGTACTGGATTTTCATATGCATATTTAGTAATTAATTCACGAAATTCTTCAGGAAGTTGTAAAAGATATGGTATACCAAAAATACCTTGATGAATACCACTTAATGTTATTAAATTATAAACAGGTAATGAACATCTTTCAATTGCACCACGTACAATAATACTTCCTTGAGAATATCCAACTATATTAAAACCTTGACGAAGATGTGTATCACTATAAACAATTTCACAAAATTGTTCAACTTGTTTATCAATTGGTAATAAAAATGAATCTTCTTTACCATTACCTATTTCAACTGATATAACATAAATACCAGGAAAAGATGTTCGAATCCAACCAGCTAATTCTTCCATACCAGCAGCTGTTGATGATATACCATGCATAAGAACAACTGGTCGATATATTGAACTTGATACAACAGTTGAAATTAATAAAACAAAAATAAGACAAATCATTTTTATTTCTTCTTCTAATTTTGTTTTTTATTCAACTAAAACAATTGATTTTTTTTTTTGGTTTTTATTCAAAAGAGATAAACAATAAACATCTGTTAGTTCTCATACATTCTAGTTCGAATATGTGTTCTAAAACAATATTATTTATTGTTTTATTGAAAAAAAAAACATTTTTAAGATAAAATATATTGCAGATTTTTATTAATTGAATTAAAAACATCAAAATAATCTACATCTTCAAATATTCATTTCTAATCAATGAACATTTCAATTAATTCTTTTACATTTAGAATTTCTATTATATCTATAATGAATTAGTACAAAATATTTGAAGAATAATTATCAAAAATAGAATATTCTACAAATGTTAAATCTTTATTTAAAAACAAAAAGTTTAATTCATGTATAATCATTTCATTGTTTATTTTTTATAATTAAATACAATTCTTAAACATAAAACTATTCAAATGACCATAAATGCTATTCCGTAGTAACTTACAAATTCTTATTAAAATTCTAACTGTGACAAATACAATGAAAAAATACATTAACAATAGTTAGATTCTATGTACAGGATTGGAAATAATATTTTTCTAGGGGAAGATACTAGCATGATTTCAAATAGAGTAAACAATAGATTTTCTATCAAATGACAACCGGTCGAAAATATATCACAGACCGATCAAAATGTTCTGTCATAGGACATAGGTTAAATTAGCTGTGATATAAAAGTATTGAACATAGGAAAGTTAAGCTTATTTTTTATGGTTTAATGAATTATAAAAAAATAAACATAACTTTACTATGCTTATTAATTTTATATTACAGCTAATTTGATTTCTCTGCTATGACAGAACATTTTGGCATGCCTGTGATTCATGAACTTCTAGAAATTTTCAAAATTCGACAGCGAAAATTCTTTATTATCCTTATTGATTCGTATGGATACACATAAAGTTTCATTATTTCAATTAAATGTTAAGATGACTTTTTGTACTCGCCAATAGGTCTCAAATTGAGCGTCTCGATTATTAGTCACTTAAAATATTTACATTCGGATTTATATATACTTTGTTATCAAGATAACTGAATAACTAAAAGTCTGAAAGGCCAACTCTAGACAAGTATCACAGATGCGCCATATTTCCGTTTTTTTGCTTCTTTAAAGAAAATAAGAAGAATATCTTTCACATGTTGTTCATAGAAATTCATGTTGATGAAATTTTTATTCAATAATTTTTTTTCATCTACGGCCTTACGAATCTATACGGCTATAGATAGCATTGTTAGTTGCTTCGTAAGAACCCTGCTGGCAAGTAATGGTCTATTTATCATTAAAATGACGGTAAACATAGTTATTTTTACTGTTCAGGCCTTATTGACGCATCTTTGAAGTCTTTTTCTGACTGTCAACCATGAATTTTATTGTTGTTTTGATTTAATCTTATGGTAGTGTATCCAAGTCTTAACACTAATAATGATTCCATAGAAATGAGTGTATTTGATTGAAACTTCTCTAAATTTTTCAGAAGTTAATTAACAAGTGAAAATGAAGTAATAACCAGGGCGCCAAATTTGAAATCTGTTGGCGAATATAAAAAGATATCTTAACATTTGATTGGCATAATGAAACTTTGTATCAAACATCACGGCAACTACCTTGAACTTTTGCTATAAACAGACGATTGGAATGTCTTTTCTTATCAATCACTTTTTCAAAATGACAGAACTTTTTGACTGTCTTAAGCATAAATATTATATTTAGTTGTACGTGGAACACACAATCCCTCGTGCCTTAAAAAATCAAAAAATTCCATGACTTTATTGGATTTTCTGTCAAACAAAATGAAAAAATGGCATTTCTGATGAAGAAGCGGACATATTCTTTGATGTTTTTTCAAATCCATTGATTAAAAGTAACATTTAGATCAAATTCATTGCATGATTTTGATTAAAATGTTACTTGAGTGTGAGTGTGTGGGTGTGAGTCTCGGAGTATAAATTCGAGAATTACTCACATCCACACCCACACCCTCGTATCTAGTATTCTTGTTCGTTTTTACATTTAAAGTGCAATAATAATATGAGCATCGATGGTGAAGAAAGAAATCAAGAGTTTCGATATCGATGAACAAAACAAGCAAAAAAAGGTTGTACAGTGCATGTTTAGTATTACTTAATCATTGCAAGTAGTTGATCTATAGTTGTTTCAGTCTGGCAACGTTGTCGATTGGCACATGTTTCGATTAAATGTATGTAAAAGTCGAGAAATTCTTTTGCTTTCTCTTCATTCTCCATTTCGTGTGCTAAAGAAAAGTCTAGTTGATTATCACCGACACAAGTGATATACAACGTTGATGACGAATGATAAACACTTCCGTTATTAATGACATGCATGCCATGTAGATGTATTTGACCTTGATTATAGTCACACGAAAATGGATATTTACCAATATTTGAAAAGATGAATTCTGACATGCGTCCTTCAGGAAAAAGTCGGGTAATCTGATTAAATAGACGTTCATCTCGCATCATATCACAAAAGATATTCATCGATAGAGGAACACCGTTTCGCTTTAATTGTTTTTGAGTTGTTATCATACATAGACGTGCTAGTGACCAAAATCGAGTAGAATGAATTGATAATGATCGATCAAGAGAAAAATTGCTGTCTCCAACAAAGAAGCCCACAGACGAGGATGTCAGAGTTGATTGGGGAAGACGTAAACGCATATCAAACTCCATCTCGATCTCAAATGGAACTAATTGATTGTTGTCATCAAGTGGAAAACAATGATGAATAGCAAGTAGAAAACAGCTGACCAATGGACCATGTAATGTAACTTCGTGTAAACGACATTGTTCATGTAAATCCAAATAGAGATTACATGAACTTGATGAAAATAAAAATCTAATTTTATGTCGTTGAATATGAAATGTTGTTTGTTCACAGTCGGTAAGAGGAATTGATTTGACCGGAACACGTGATTGTCTTAAATTGCGAAGGCTTCGTTTCAAATTATGTTTGCCAATGAATGATATAATATGATAGAGAGAACCATATGGGCGGGGTATGAGTTGACCAATAAATGGTAGTATTTCTGTATTGAGCGGTTCTGAAAATTCGTGCAAACTTGACGAAGTGGCCAAAGTCAAAAAATCATTGATAAGTATATATCCACTTCGACCATCGGATACACAATGATTTGTGTAGAGAATCAAATGAAAGAGATTATTCTTGGATGATACATGGTGTTGAACATTGGAGAAAAACATGAAATGAAACAGTGGAAAAATGATTGTACCATTATTCGAATACGGATTTTTGTTACATCGATTTTCGACAATTTCTTGCCAAGATTCGTTCGTTGTTTGAACAATTGAAAAGAATGAGTCGATGGGTAGCTGTCCATTGTCGTATTCGAATGTTTCAAGTAGATATCGATTATTTTCGACCCGAATACGTGAGCGCATGCGAGGATGTCGTTTGAGTAAACATTGAAGAACTTGAGGAACGTTTTGAGTCAGTGTTGAAGGGTCGCCAGTCAAATGAGCAATATGTGCAATGGTTATCCAACTACCGTGTGCACAAAAAATCTTTTCAACACCATTCATCTCCGTTGTGAAGGCAACCTTCATCGACATTTTTCTAATGTATCCTTGAATAGTGAATACGTTATTGCAATATTATCAATCTGTCTAAGCAAATGACAACCACGATGATTGTAGTTTTTCTTTCCTTTTCTGTTCTGTTAACATCGAGAGAAAAAAAGACTGCCCCTATAGTACGCTGTCAGAGTGACGTAAGTCAAGTTAGCGCCACATTCGACTTTTTTTTGTCTGCATTCGCTCTATCATTTTGGGTTGAGTCTCTAACCAATTGGATTAGGTGAACAATTGAATTCTTCATCGACTGATGCTATTTTGAAGATTGGCCATCATGTGAAAAGTGCCTCTTATACCCGAAATACAGGTGTTTGAGAGTAGGTTTTGGAATATTGACTGTTCCGATTCAAAATTTAAAGAATAAAGTTTTTACCTTCTCAAGTTCTTGATCCCAAAAGATCCCCTACAAGAGAAGGATAAGCTGCTCTGTTGTATTCAACTATCATAGAGTTATGAAATGGAAATCATTTGATGAGAACTTCTGAGCAGGATCAAAGTCGTAGTCATAGTGTCTCGTATTCACATTCATCCTCAAGATGAAAAAATACGATAACTTATGCTTCAATAGTTTTTAGAGTGTTGATGTCGACGTAAGCTTTCTCTCCATCCAGACTCCACATCCATATCGACACGCACCTCCAGACACTCACACCGTCAAAATGATCAACAGAATTATTATTTTCTTTCATTTCATGTTCACTTAAGTGCAAGTCATAGTTCGATATTTTTATAGGGAAAAAGTAGAGATGATCAAGTTACATTTAGAAAAAAGTATTAAATGCAGAAATAAATTATGAAAAATTCGGGGTGAGAGTGTAGATGTAGACTTTGGGTGGACAGAAGGCTCACATCCACATTCACAGCCATCATTGACAATTGAATAAAAATTAGTTCACAGGAATTATGTCAAGTGGAGCACCCTTCTATTCTTCTAGTTCAACATCTAATGTAGTAATCTATTACGTTGAATTGGAAAACAAGAAAAATGAAGAACATCAAAGGAAATTGACAAGTGGTATATTGTCGTGCAGCACTGCTTGGAGTTGATATAGACGTGGACGAATGTTGTGTGGTACTATATGTGGGCATGTGTGTAGTTATTGTATCTGCTACTTGTACAACTACTTTGGCAATACCACACATATTCTTGCCACGCACAATACGAATGTAGCCTTGCTCGCCCCAATTCACGCCTAATATATGGACGAATAATTCAGATAAATTCACTGCGAATCAGTACTCACCCCAGCTATTTTTACACAGCCAAAACGGTTTACTATCTTCCGTACCGTAGCCAACAATCTGAAGCTAAAAGGAAGTAGCTAGACTAAACA